TCTCTCTCTCTCTCTCTCTCTCTCTCTCTCTCTCTCTCTCTCTCTCTCTCCCCCCCCGTCTATCAGAACCCCTTCTTCGTCGCGCGTTCACGCACGAACACAAAGGGGAAGAAAGAAAGAGAGAGAAAGAGAGCGAGAAAGAAGCACACGAGGAGCGGTGGTGTGTGCACACACACGAACACACACGCGTGCGCACACACGGTCACGTACACCCTCTCTTTTAGCGTGCTGCTGGCCGCTACGCCGGCCGCGTACATTCGCTCACTATATAGTATATATAGGTCGGCGGTACGCCTCGTGCGGCTGTCGCTGAAACCAAGTTCAAGGCCAAAGGCTCGGCAAAGGCCACAATCGTGGCCGGTGGTGGGAGTCGTTGATGGCTGAATAAGTGGAGGGGCTGTTGAACGCAACCCGCGGAACATCACTCAGTCGGCTGTGATGCTGTCTCGCGTTTGCACGCGTCCTACTGTCGTGCTCCTTTCTCGTTCGACTCTCTCTCTGGCCGCCCGTGTGCGTAGCAGACAGCCGTGTGTCTGGCGGCGCGCCGTGCACACCGCGTCACACGATACGCCGAGATCCACGTCGGAGTGACTCGCGGCAGCCACGACAGTCAGCCGATAGACAGCGATCCTCGCGTTCCGCGAAAAATACGCCAACGGGAAAGCCGAGCCGTGTGACAAACCGTGGAAACAGAGGAAGCAGTTTCGCGTGGAAATAACGAGAATCGTACAAGATTACGTGTTAACGCGTCCGGATCGAAAGAGAATCGAAAGAGAATCGAAAGAGAATCGTCGGAAGATACAAGTGGCGCGCGCGTACGTATGCTGTGCCGTACGAATTCGCCGCGTCGAACGTCGACCTGCAGTGATCGTGCCGATGGGAGATTAGTTTTGGTGCGCGGTGCAGTTCGCTCCGAAGCTACACGCCGCAAACACGAGTAAACGGGGATCGAGCGTTCTTCTCGATCGTTTTTCTCGACCGTCATGGGAGACGAGTTACCCATACTGAAAGGAATCCTCAACGGAGTTGTCAACTATCACAATGCACGTAGGTGTCCCCGGTTACGGAAGAGACCGCGTGTTATCGTTCTTTACACCAGTGTTATCCAAACGTCGGTCTTTCCCTTACCACCACTGCCTCCGTCGTCATCGTCACCTTCGTCTTCGTCGTCGTCGTCGTCGTTGTCGTCGTCGTCGTCATTGTTCGTGACTTTCTAACGAAGAGGAGGATTCGTAGCACGAGGCGAAGCGCGCCGGCCGCCACTTTCGTTTCTCGCCGCGCGAGAAAGTCTTGCGCTTTCCCCTCTCGATTTTTTCTCGTCCTCGTCGTCGTCGTGTGCGTAGGCACGTCGGAGCGTGCGTGTGTCCTGCGAATATACTAGTTCGCTCCTATCCTACCGACGACGGTTTACGAAAAAATGAAAAAAAGAAAAAAAAGAAAAAAAAAGATAAGAAAAGGGAAGAAAGGAATAAAAATGGAATAAAAGGAAGCAGCGGAGCGGATAGGGTCGAGTTGGACCGCGTTATCGAACGGTACGGAACGGTTTGGAACGAAAGTCGGTGTAGGAAAGACGCGCGAGGGTGTCTGGCGGAAAGCGAGGCGCGTTGCGATTTTCCTCGTAGTGGCGCGCGAGTAGAAGCGGTCGAAGGCCGCGGGGACGCAGCTCCGACACGCCGTGTCCGTTGCATGATTCATCCATTGATCGCATTAACTATTCATCGACGCGTGTCCTTCCTTCTGCTTACCACTCGACCGAGAACAACCGTCGCGTATTCGCCTGTTCGCGTCTAACCGTTCGCCATTCGCGTGTTTCTGCTTATAGCGGTGCGATTCGGCCGTGTGCCCAAGCGCGAGAAGGCCAGGATTCTGGCTGCTATGCAGCAAAGCTCCCACAGCCGTTCTCAAGAGAAGGCAGTAGCGGCCGAGCTGGAGGACGAGCAACGGCTCCTGGCCACCGTAGTGCAAGCCCACCTCGACACATGCGACTTCACCAGGGACAAGGTGGCCCCGATCCTGGTCAGAGCTCGAGAGACGCCCAACTATACCGCGTGTCCACCAACCTTGGTCAGTATCATATACACGTGTCTGTCTATCTGTCAACTTGTCTCACTCTTTCTCCCTTTTCTTCCATTTTTGTTTACATTTTTTAGTCGTACCGTTTATCGTTAATTCCGTTTATTTCCGTTTATTTTCGTTCGTATTTATCTTTCTCGAGACTTTGACAGTTCGTTTCGGGCCGGTTGATTTTTCTTCCCCGCTCGTTCAATTTGCTCGTTACTCGCGCGAATAGCGGGAACGGACCTTGGGTTCATCCGAGACGCGGAAATCGGAAAGCAGTCGTCCTCGATTCGAACGAGGAAACGAAGCTTTTTCTACTCTGTCAATCCCTGCCGTGCGAAGCTTGGCTGCAGCGCGCCATCTAATCGGGCCCCGTGTGGTTTGTTCACGTTGCAGGCATGTCCCCTGAACCCTAACCCTCAGCCGTTGACTGGCCAGCAAGAGTTGCTGCAAGACTTCTCCAAGAGGTTCTCCCCGGCGATCCGCGGTGTGGTGGAATTCGCGAAACGCATTCCTGGCTTTAGCCTGCTGGCTCAGGACGACCAGGTCACGCTGCTCAAGGCCGGCGTGTTCGAGGTGTTGCTGGTGCGACTGGCCTGCATGTTCGACGCACAGACGAACAGCATGATCTGCCTGAACGGGCAGGTGTTGAAACGAGAGTCGATCCACAACAGCAGTAACGCGCGATTCCTCATGGACTCCATGTTCGACTTTGCCGAGAGAGTGAACTCGTTGCGGCTCTCAGACGCGGAGTTGGGACTGTTCTGCTCCGTCGTGGTGATCGCAGCCGACAGACCGGGATTGCGCAACACCGAGCTGGTCGAGCGTATGCACAACAAGCTGCGAAACGCTCTGCAGACGGTGCTGGCACAGAATCATCCCCAGCACCCTGACATTTTACGGGAACTGCTGAAAAAGATCCCGGACCTGAGGACTCTCAACACCCTCCACTCGGAGAAACTGTTGGCCTTCAAGATGACGGAGCAGCAGCAACAGATGCAGGCTCAGCAGCAGCACCAGCAACATCAGCAGCAGACGCAGCACGTGATCAATGCCCAACAGCCGCAGCAACAGCCCTGGCCGATGGAAGAGGAACCGCCAGCGTCCTGGGGCTCAGCTTCCGACGTGACGTTGGACGAAGCCGTGAAAAGTCCACTGGGCAGCGTGTCTAGCACCGAGAGCACCTGCAGCGGCGAAGTCGCTTCTCTCACCGAGTATCACCACGTGGCGCCGCCAAGCGGACACCACGCGTCCAGCGCGCCATTGCTGGCCGCCACACTGGCCGGTGGCCTCTGTCCGCATCGACGACGAGCCAACTCCGGCAGCACCAGCTCCGGGGACGACGAGTTGCATCGCGCGTCCCTTTCCAAGACGCCTCAGCCGCCGCAGTGTCCGCGATTCCGCAAACTCGACTCGCCCAGTGACAGCGGTATCGAATCCGGGACCGAGAAGCCCGACAAACCGGCCAGCAGCAGTGCCAGCAGCGCACCGACCTCCGTTTGCTCCAGTCCACGCTCCGAGGACAAAGAGGTGGAGGACATGCCGGTGCTGAAGCGCGTGCTTCAAGCGCCACCTCTGTACGATACTAATTCTCTGATGGACGAGGCCTACAAGCCTCACAAGAAGTTCCGCGCCCTGCGCCAGAAGGACAGCGCGGAGGCCGAGCCGGCGGTGATAGTGCAGCACACGCAGTCCCAGCTTCATCTCCACCTAACCTCGCCACCGGCCCGAAGTCCGTCGAATCAGGTGCAAGCTCAGTGCCCGCAAACCGCGAGTCTGCTCAGCAGCACGCACTCCACGCTCGCCAGGAGCCTGATGGAGGGCCCACGGATGACGGCGGAGCAGTTGAAACGCACGGACATCATTCACAATTACATAATGCGCGGAGAGGCTAGCCCTAGGTCGCCTACGGCGTCGCCATCTCCCGCGGAACAGTGCGCGTCTACGACCACCATTACTGCGCGTTCGCCACAAGGATCTCAAGGACTGCTGCAGTGCGCTACCAGCAGCTACTCCACCAGGTGGCCCGCCACGTCGGTCATTACGACGACGACGGGTGCCCGACAGCAGCAGCAGCAGCAGCAACAGCAGCAGCAACAGCAACAGCAACAGCAGCAGCAACAGCAACAACAACACCAGCAACAGTCTTCCTCGGACTACCTCATGGTCGGGAATTCGCCGGCCTCGTCGCCCAGGTACCTATCCGCGGCAGCGACGAGTAGTACGAGCACGAGTCCACGGCCTGCCTCGAGTACGGCAGCGACGCTCGTGCTGTCCGGCTGTCCCAGCAACATGATGGAGCTACAGGTGGACATCGCGGATAGCCAACAGCCGTTGAACCTGTCGAAGAAGTCGCCGTCCCCGTCGCCCAGGCCGCTAGTGGGCCCGTGCAAGGCATTGTCCCTCGAGGCGTAGTGGTCTGGACGCGAGGTCGCGTGAGCGTGTCGTTGTTCGTGACGGATGACGGGTCGTTGTTTCCCCCACTCTACTACCCCAGCCTCGGACAGTGGAGCGCCGACGACAGCGCTCCCGGAGCAGCAGCGGCAGCGGCGGCAAATGCAGCAGCCCACCTAACGGAGCGGCGCGCGATCCGCGCACGGGTGTTTCTCTCGTCGCGGCGTGTTTGCATCGGTACGCGCGACGGTGTTGGTGTATAGTTGGTGTCGCGCGCCACGTCGCTCCCACTCCCGGAACGGAAAAAAGAATAAAAACCATACACACACACACACACGCATACACACACGCGGAAAGAGACAGACAGACAGACTGAGAGACGGGCAGACAGGAGAGAGAAGTATAAGAAAAAAAAAAAAAAAAATGAAAGGAAAAGAGTAAAAAGATACATGGAAAAGTGCCAGGACGCTCAGAGCGCGTGATAAACCAAATAATTTATTAATTTAAACTATTAAAACTATGGATAATCTGCGCGAGACACAGTTTGGGAGAAGAGACTGCAGAGTGGCCAGGTTGGCGGGACGTGAGCGTCCCGCGCCTGTTTCGCGGACACCCGGTATAACGATACGTAATGGTACGCGTGTCGCCGCGAGACGAGGAAAGATGGCATGGAACGGGAGGAGTGTGCGAAGTGCATGGGAGGACGCTATCTGTTTCGTCCCTCTACCCCCCCCTTACCCGGGAGACGCGTGGTGATCGATGGACCGCGGACTGATGGACGATCGAACACGCGCGAGAAAGTGCGGCCGAAAGGGGAACGGGGAAACGGAGAGAGTGTGCCGTGGTTTTTTGGCATTCGCCTGTATACCCAAACGGAAGCTACCTACCCATCTGCTACTACTACTAACACCTACCTACCTACCTACCATCTATCGACGAACAAGCGAGAACAGAAGAGCAGCAGCACGAGGAGGAAGAGGCTATCTGGTCTAGACGATCCGGCGAGATAGCGTGTCGATGCTCCCTTTAGATACGGAGAAGAGAAAGGGGAGCGCAGGAATGGTGAGGAAGAAGTGGAAGAGGAGGAAGGAGAGGAGGATTGAATGTTACAGAAAAATGAATAATCTATCTTACATGTGATAATCATGGAAATCGCGCATCCTGTACAGTACTCCACCTCATTCATCGATCATCTACTCTACTATAATTATTGAATATTATTAAAAGTAATTAATATTATTGTAACATGTGTAAGGTATAATAATCGTAAAATAAACGTTATCATCTTGTGTATGTGCGCGTAG